TTTTTGCCTTGCGAGCAGCCTGAGCCAAAAATCAATGTCTCTATTGCTTTTGGCCGAGCTCTCTCGCAGGCCGGTAAACCATAAGTATCTACGTCAAAGAGGGAAAAAAAAAGCCTCTCGACTCTCGTGCACGTCGTGCTCAAAGCACCTTATAAGAACGGTGCCGGGTTCACCGGGAGTCTAGTAGCGTGTTCTGGGCTCGCTTCTGCCGCCAGGCAAGGAACGCGTTCATCGGTGTGTGTCTGATTGGCGGACACGGGTGTAGTACGGTGTCGGACGGGTGCGCGAAGATGCTCGGACTTCTCAGCCGACAGCTCGCCAACGTCCGTCAAAAAAAGGAAGATATTCCCCTTGTCCGTCGGCCAGAAGAGACGTTTATATACAGCGACTTCGGCACATCTTTCGAAAAAGATGAAGCTCCGTTTCGCAGTGATCCGAAAGAGCAGTCGCGAAACGCGCATTGGACTCGAAACGTCGTCGTCGAAATCATTATTTGAAAAAAGAATATTTATATAGTTATATTTAAATCTATAAACTCCTTTAAAGCTTCTAAAAAATTATTTATTTATAAATTCTCAAATTAGTTTGCAGTTTATTCTAAGTTAATGAAAATCGATTTAGTTGTCTATTGTTAATAATATTCAAAAAAAGAACAATGATGTATTTAAAATATAAAATGTGCATATCTATCACTAAAAATAATATTCTTAATTAAAACTGAAAATTTATTTCATCATGAAAATAGCAAGAACTAAAATTATGTAACATATCATTTTCAATTCTTCGCGTCGGTCATTATATAAGAAAACGTTGAGTTAAAGAAGATTGTTGCATTTTCGCTACTAATCTTAAGCAATGTACATTAGCAATTTAAATGGTTTTTACGGTATATACATGATGCAAGCTAATATACGGCCGGTCGCATATTTAAGATGTTTATAAATTGATTTAAAAATAGAAAATACCTATAGAATAAAGACACTCATTTATAAAATTAACATATAAAAAATATAAAAATTAAAATTAATCAATGTCTTTATATTATCAAAACATCGTTTTGAAGGCATCAGATTATTCTCGGCGATATTTAGAAAACCTCTCGAGCGTTACTATATTGTTCTAAACAAAAGATCTCTCGGATACTTGCTAACCATCTCGCTAATTATCTGAGATTTCTGAGAAGGACAAAAAAAAAGGTTTATTTATACTACTGTCATTGCATATGCAAGCACTGCTTTGCATTGTGCTTTAGTAAATTTCTAGAGAGAGTTCACGAAGTGGCGGAGGTGTCCGGGGCACTCTCGAGAGTACGGCCAGTGCAAAGCCGCGCGTAAAGAAAGAGGCTAACGGAGTAGAGGCTTTCGCCTACTCGACCCGAGAAACCTGTTCGACCGGTCTTGCTTGGTCGACCGCTTTTACCCCTCTCTCGTTCCTTCTTTTCGTCGCTCTTTCTCTCTCTCTCTCTCTCTCTCTCTCTCTCTCTCTCTCTCTCTCTCTCTCTTTGTCTCCCGTCGCGCGTCGTTCTCCTTCAACTTGAGTCCGATTCACGTAAACGCACACAAACGGCACGACACGTAAACGAATCGAAAGGGCTCGGCGGCCGAGAATATCACGATGCGATGCTCGGAACGAGAGAGAGGTACGTTTCATCCTCTGGAATTCTTTCGTATCGCAAATCGGCACTCTCAGGATCCGTACCGCGCCGATTGCCGTGCCACGAGCAGAATTTTACGTTCGTTCTACATGTCGGTTGAGAAGCGTATCGGATACAACAAGAGACTGTTACGTGAAACGAAGAAGCAGTGGATATCGCAAAGTAAAATTTTTATTGATCGTTTAAAAAATAATCTAGTTATAGTAATGTCTACTTAAATATTATATAAAAATACTGTAAAATATTTTTAATTTTAAATTACGTATCGAATTGTAAAATAAATTTTTATTTCATTCTGAGAACATCGATTTGCGAATTGAAAAGAAACCTACCGAGACAGAATATCTTAAGCTGAATGCACAATGAAAAACACAGGCAATAGGAACAGGGAATAATGCAGGCAACAAATTTCAACTTATGGAAAACCGTGTATTCAATGTACAATGGAAAACATTTTCCATTGTATATTGATACATTGTTTTCTATAGGTTGAAATTTGTTGCCTGTATTATTCCGTTCCTATTGCCTGTGTTTTTCATTGTGCATCCAGCATTACGTTAAAAAACAATCTACGGATATACGACAAATTTTTATGTAATGATATAGCTTTCACGTATGCCTACGATTCAGGGTGACGCAGCAAATATCGGCGATAATAACACGTTACTTCATAAGCGACCATAACAGACCCGTAAATAGCTGATGTTCTTTCGGACTCTCACTCCCGAACGAAACACCTCCCTCAACATGGATCGTTGAACCCTACGAGCAGCCTTGAACCCTTCGACCGGCTTTCCTTGCTCGTACCTTGATGCGAACGTTCTAGGAAGTATAACGACCGCGGGTAAAAGAACCCCCGCCACCTCATTCTCGCGCTTTGTTCTTTTTTCCCCCCTTTTTCTTCTGAGGTCTGGCGAGAGTCCGTTTCTCGTTAGGGTCAGTCCTGGGCAAATAGTAATGCGAATCTAGAGGTGCCATTCTGCGATTAGTTCTGAAGAACGAGGAAAAAATTCTTTTTTCCTGAATTATAAATACAAAAAAATCGGAACAATCGACGATCGGATCATGGCGCCGACATAGTTAACTTCAATTTACAACGTGATAATTTTGAATAATATATCGAAGTTATTTTTTGATACGGTCTATTTGTTAAAGCGTATCTAATACATTCGAAATGTATCTGATGATCTTGTACGATTATCACATTGAATACGTTAAGTAAGTCAAGCGATTAGATCCCGCTTGGAGGCACTATTTATCGATTCTCAAGTTTTAAGACTAAATAAGAGCTAGAACGAAACAAAGTAACCTAGATTGCGTCAGATTGCACCGAAGTAATCTAGTTTACGTTAGTCAACGTTGCAGATCCGCGTGGTAAGATAGATCGCAATATTACTTTTAGTTTAAATAAATAACACCTATCCGAAATAATCTTCAACCTAGCAACCTAGACGTCTATTATGTATTTTAAAAATTATTATCACCTTTAAAATTTAATAGATGAATTTTTAACATTCAATTGCTCGCAACTCAAAAGCCATCCGAAATAATTATATAGCTTTTTTTCCTGGCATTCTTTTTAACGTAGTTTGCAAAATGTATGGTAGGGAAAGGTATAGGAAAGGAAATCCGCGCAATCTCTACAACATTGTGTATCCACATTGAAAGATTGTCGATAGCTAAATTGACAATAAATATCTATCGCCTGCGGGCGATCCCTTTAGGAAATACTCCGATATTAACGTGTCGGAGTCATTCGCGTTTTCGCTTCATTCGCGTTGTAGCGCACGGCACTGAGGTTCTGTGTGAAAGTGTCGGATCGACTACAGCGAGGAAGTAGCCCCGGGAGTGCACTAGCGACGGGGTAATTACGATCAGAGCACACCGTCTCCGCCGCCAGTGTAGATCTATGATCGCAATAGATGGCCAAAGAAGCGAGAGAGGCAGATACAATGCGAGCGAGTAAACGGGACGAGATAGAAAATAAAAGAAGAAAAG